ACTTAAATGATTTTAGCATATGGCTGCAATATAACAAAGAGTGAAAAATTTAAGGGGGTCTGAATACTTTCCGTACCCACTGTATGTATGTCACTGCCAATCTCCACTGGTTTATCTACCTGAAATGACATATTTTCTCACTTTCAGTGACTTCAGACATATTTTCTCACTTTCAGTGACTTCAGAAAGTATTCAGTACCTGTATGTATTGAACTAAACATCTCATGCATTAAACAATTCCATTAACTTACTTACCTTCAGTAAAAGGTTACGCAGCCACAGCATGAAAACAGGATCATCTAAATGTAAAGGTAAGCTGGAATTTTCAGTTTACGAATGACATACTATTCACATGGCATCATTATACACCATTAGAAACTTTATTCTTCTTTTGTTTTGCATGTTGAGCCCACCTGCTGTGCACAGACCAAATGACTCTAGGTTATTCTAGCTTAGAAACTCATAATTATTTTATTTCAAGTGCACTAATGAAACACTGTACTTATTTCAAATGTAATTAGAGCCACACTTGTTTTCAGGAAACTTGCTCAGAAATCAAGAGGAAATTTATAAACCTGCACAAGAAAGTGTTGCCAATATTTCAAGATTAAGAAAAGGCTTTAGAAAAACAAAAGATACAGGTACTGTGGCATCAAGGTGTCATCAACTCAGATAGCATGGGTGGCAACACAGCCAAGCACAGGAAGTGTTTTGAGATTTCTTTTCAGTATTTGCACCTACTTATCTTTTTACAAACATATTCAATTTGTGCATACAATATAAAACCGATGTTAAAGAACTACTGTAGCTTGACGTTCTGGCAAAAGCACTTGTTTGGAGTTGGGTGGAGTTAGGTTACCAGGAGTTAGGTGAGAGCACGACAGGCCACTGCACAGGAACCAGACCCAGATACTTACTGTGTACTGTGGAGACTTTTTGCTGATCTCTGACCAAAACCACAAGTCACCTAAAGCTTTTAAAAGAGAAACCGTTTGTTTGCACAGAGCCTAAAACCCAGTTTGTTGAAGGCTGCAGCTGCAATTGTCCCTTTGAACCAACCTGAATAAAGACTTCATGGATCCCTGTAATAAATGCAGAGTGAATAGATACTGCTGTTTTGTAACGCAGCTCCCAGCGAGACAGCAAAGCGACATACTTCTGAAAGAGTATTCCTTAAAGAAATGTTTTTTTTTTTGCTCCAAAAGTAAATCACTTGTTATTTTGCTGATGGCTGAACGTCCCACCAATTGTTTTTGAGACATCCTAACAAACAAGTGGGACTGAAGACATAAGGTTCTTGTTGTAATGCAATCCAGTGCAACCCCAAAACCTGCTCCACTCTCAGCACTGACCAAAGAGTTGAAACAACATCTGACATAGTTCAGCTAAAAGCATCCTATATACAGCTGTTATGTTTGTGTCCACCCGGTGTGCATCATGCAGTGACTTCACATTAACTGTTCTGACACATTCACCAGTAAGACACATGCATCGTATTTTCATTTTATTCCTAGTATAAGAGACATACAGTGGTATTCTTTGAGACCAAAGTCATAGTAATTCAAGAGGCGTAGCCTGGAAATTAAACAAACAAAAAAAAAATATAATACTGAATCAATGAGACCCTGCCCAGATAGAATGTATTTACACCAAATCAAATACTGGTAGAGCTGTCAGAGGTGAGAACACTCACTCTCCCATACAATCTATCAGCGCCATATAAAAATAAAAACAAAAACAAACACACACTCATCAAACACTAGCTGCCACAATTCCTCTTATGAAGCATTATGGCCACAACTTTAAATTGAGAATCAAAGGCTATTTAATGCTCTGTTGCCTGTTAATATCAAAAAACAAAACAAAACAAAGTTTTCTTTTATTTACTGGAGTTGGAGTATGAATGGTTAACTTTTCATTGGGTCAAATGAGTTCTGGGAAATTTCAGTCAATAAACACCACTTTCAGATACAGTAAACATTGCAGTGCTGTTTTCACAAGATTGATTACGGCTCCAGTCGACTGTGTCCTAAGTGACCCTGCTGAAAAGTGCAACAGCGAAGTCTTGAAGGTGTGATATTTCTGAGGCAGAGCTGACCGGCGTCACCGTTCCTGAGGGGAATCCTCAGCAGGTATTCGGCAGCACAGCCACCTGTGTACCACGACCACTTGCCAAATATTGATCCGAGCGACAGCCTCAGCTTGTCAGATCGGACTTCATTGCACTTCTCCTTGTTTGAACATATTTTCTAAACAGAAACTTTACCTCCACTCCCATTTATTTGCTTCCTGCATGCTGAAGTTGACACACGGTGACACTAGCAAGTCTAAATCTACAGCAGTAACCATCGTAGAAGTCCAGCTTCATGCCACTTCCTGTATCAATTCTGACTTTTATACAAAGTCCAAATATGATGTTATTTTTCTCAACTATGTCTTCTAAATAAGAAATAGGATAACAATGTCCTCTGACATTCAGAACTGGAGCAAAAAACCACACATTTGCTTCATCCATCAGTAAAATGTGACTTCTACAATGGCTACAGTCTGTAGGTGGTTAACTTAAGGTGGTTAAGTCAAACCTGAATGTCTGCAGTCTCCAGCTGGATGTACTGGCTTTGCTCAGTCTCCCAAAACAGAAAACTGCAGGCTCACACTTCTGGGACAAAAAAAAACAAACCAAACCAAAACAAAACAAAACAAAAAAAAAAAAAACTGCAAAATGAAGGGTTTCATTCCAACATTCATATATATAATTTTGTTAGATTTTTCAAAATAACAGATCATTTGTAAAATATCAGTTACAAAAAGGCTCAATAACCAGATATAACATATGACTCATTAGTGACAATCATAGTTTTCAGTTGACCTGAACAGGTGACACGTTTTTAGATGATATATCTCATTTCTGGAATGAAACTCTTCAAATATACAACGGATGCTGTATGACACACACGGACAACCATAGAAAATGAGATACCTACAATATACTGTAGCATAGTAGCCATCTGAGCCCCTTGCATTAACCCCTACCCCACATGTCACACACTATTATTAAATAAGGCACACATTTACACATACAGTTAAAATTTGGCTAGTAATTATTCCTTTATTTACAACCAAGAGCCACAAAGTTAATAATTATAATAACTGCGGTCCATTGTATGTTTAATGTTCATCCTCACTGTGCCAGGTGGTGTGGCATATCTGTCTTATCCTCTTTGGGTCCACAATGTTTCAGTACACAGTATGGTTTATTTCCATTTGAGAGGATATTAGACCCACCAGACTGTGGAGCACCAATCTTATAGAAATGTTCTTTAGGAACTTAAATGGACCCGACTTTATCATTTCTGACATGACATCTGCTGGGACAGAAAAGAAAAAAGAAATGATGAGTATAGCTGCTTTGTTGAAGTATTACCTTTTTCTGATCAACCCAAATAAATTTGGTTCAGTGTTTTTGGCCAAATGACAGTGAGTTGTGTTGATCAAGTGCATGACTTGGTGTCCCTAAGGTGTTTCTTAGGGGGTGGGGGATCGTTTGACATGCCCAAAGATGAAACAGTATAGTAAGGCAAAGACATAACTACTTTCAGGGGGAATTTTCTGACTTTTCACCACAGGTTACATGTACTGCAAATGTATATGTATACATATACGGTGTGGATATAAACACACATATATATACACACACATGCATAATATAAACACTTTCGAGGGAGGGGTGGGTGGGACTGGTTACCAACACTACATCAAAAAAGGTTAAGCAAAAGCATGAATCTAAGCATCGCAGAAGCCTCCGACTTTTAAGTTTTCAAGATGAGTGATGTGTATAGGTTTTCAAACATCAACGCGTCCAAGAACTAAGTTGTATTGTCAATCCACACTGAGGACACTGGCAGCCTAATATAAGGAGGTGGCATCACGTCACCCAAGTCAGCGGTTCTATAATAAGCAAGTAGCTGAGCAATACCAATATGGTACAAAGATATTCGTTGGACAAAAAGAAGGGGGAAAACAAGTTAGGTTGAGGCTTTCTTCCACAGTGACACTGGCTGTCCCAACATTGGCTATGTTTTGTCATGAAGGTCTGCAACTTCAAACCCACTGCATTTCTTCAAAGGGAAGTTCCTTTAAGAACACTCACTGAGGGAGACTCCCTCTCTAGTCCAGGACTGAACCTCCTCAGTAGTTGAACTTCCCCTGTTGGTTGACAGGGGACGTGGCGGGTATGAACAGAGGTTTGGGAGGGACATCAGGCTTGAGAGAGGAGGCCCTGCGGACGATGGCGGCCCTGTGTGGGACCTCCTGCTCTCCGCTGTAGCTGTGCTGGCGTGCCACGTAGCCATTGGGGATGAGGGGGTAGTGAACCTCACAGGCGCTGCCCGTTGAGTTCATCCGTGCTAGAGGAGGAGGTGGCTGGTGGGGCCCACCATTTCGTTGGCTGAAGCTGTGTTGACGAGGGATCATTCCTCCTCCACTGGGCATCTTGGTGGCTGCAGCAATTAGTGAGTGCCTCTGAGAGGATTGCCTCCTCTCCAGGGTGGACTGGTGGTGAGGAGGGATATCAGGAGGAACATCCATGCGTCGGGTGAGGCTGTCTCGAGGTAAAGTGGACGAACTGTAGTAGGGGGCTGATTCTGTCTCAGGAATCTGAGGTTGGATGCGGTTGGCAAAGGTTAGCTGGCCTCCACCGCCGCTGGCCATCAGACCCGATGGGCTCATTAACTGGGAGTTCTTGCTGCTACTTGCTTCATGGATGTGCTTCAGGAGCTCATCCAATGAGGTTACCTCCATTACCTTCTGAGAGTAACCAGGATAAGGCTGCTGCAATAGTCCCCGTTCAACATTGTGAATTTTGCGTTCCTCTGGGTGGAGGTGACTTCCTACTACTGGCTGCCCATTGACCAGGCCATGGGAGTAAGGGAAGATCTGCTGGTGAAGCAGGGCTGAGCTGGGCCTGGAGCCAATGTTGTGGGACTTTGGTTCCTTGGCATTGTTGCAATTCTGGTTCTTTTCCCACTGGTTCTTGAATGCTTTCATGCTCTTGATAGGCAGTTCTGGGGTAGAGTCTGGTGTAGGCAGACCAGAGAGTTCTGAGGAATGGTGGAGGTGGTGATGGTGGGGGTGAACCAGGTCTCCCATTGTCATGCCATGATGGCCGTTTCTCCTTGGTGGGTGGTGCTCTTTGCTGTTGGCAAAGAAAGAATTGTAGATCTTTGGAGAAGACACCTCCAGTTTGTCATCTTTACTTTGGCTGTCCAGGAGACCGTTGAGTTTGGCCAGGCTACGGAGGGACAGGGCGTGTGGGATTGGGGCCTCTGGATCTTTGGACAACTTCTTGGTTTTGTGGCTCGCATGGTTACAGTAGCAGGAGACCAGGAAGCCAGAGAGGAAGGCACCAAGGACAAAGGCCACCAAAACACAAGCAATCAGGAGAGTATAATGGACACTGTGATTGGTCTTCTCCAGCTCTGGTGGGCGCCTCACACCTTCAAAACAGAAAATGGTTGAGAAAAGAGTACTTCAGTTAGAGCTTTTCTGACTGAGCCAGGAGGGAAAAAACATTTTCAAAGGCTAATATAGGTCAAGTAGCAGCTGGGACAGACAGGTTGTGTTCACTATGTGGGAAACAGCATGGGAGATGTGTTTGAACTAAGCTCTTGGCTACTTTTCCCTTCCACTGTTAACAGATCAATACAACCTTTCTTTCTACAACCTGTGCTTTCCTCTCAGACTGGCAGAGACAGAGTTCCCCAGTCAGTGAGAAATCAACTCTGAAATGAGTTAGAGCTTTAAATATTGATAGGAGCACAGCAGCAGGAACCTGATGTCATTTTCACAGACTTTGCTTTCCAATGTGAGGATCAGGGGCGAGAGCACCTGGTATGATGAACGAGCCAAAAATAGCAGGTCTGTCCAATAGCTGGCAGAGTGTGCCGCCTTTGCCAACACAGACTCAGATGAGGTTGTCAGATTCTTTCAAAATGAAGCTGAGGGGAAAGTCTGTGCAGCAGTGCACCAAAAACGCAAGGTTACTTAGCTGAGGTAAATCTACCATGTAAATGTCCTTGGGTGATGTGACCCTAGCACTGTGGCTGCCTAATGGTGTGAAAGGAAGCAACGACAAGAGGACTGAAACCTGCCACCTCTCGTAATCAGAGCTCATTTGCAAGAGGATTTTGCCATCTGTGGTGTCAGACCCTTCTCTCCACCCTTTAATGACAGTTTCTGTAAAACCGATTAGTCTGTGGAGGGAGACGACTGAGCTGCACCAAGAAGGGCGAAATGCAGGTGTTCCAAACAAGCTAAATTCTACAGCTAATGAAAGCTTTGTTGAGGAATGAAAATGGAAAATGATGATTTCTATATCAGGTTTGATGACAGTTCATGAGATGTTCACAATCATGGCAATAAGTGGTGATCAGGGGAAACTAGCTCAATAATTAGGGCTGCGTTAGAGCAGATTTCAATCTTTTCTTTAAATTAAAAGAGCTAGACTTAACATGAAGGCTCTAGAACTTTGCTATGTAGAAGCTTACAGCACTTAGTCTCTAAATGAGTTATGAAGTGGGTGAAATGGAGATAGTCTATCAAGACAGTGTGAGTGAATTCATACTGCTGTAGTGATATGCATTTGGATTCGATACATTTTTTGTTGAAAATGTTTACTTGTGGCTAGGCCAGTTCACTGAACAAAAAATCAAGGTACTTCACCACAATTCCAAGGCATGGACCTTATCATCATATCATCCTGTAGGATTTATGATTTTTCAATTCATCTGTAGATGAATTTCTTCTGTCCCTTTGAGACTAACATCTCAGAAGGATTTCATTTTAGTGGAATGGAAGATGTGAATAAAACCAACTTTATAATCAGTGAAACTTGGGTGAACATTATTAAAAGGTCATGTGTGTTACAGGGCCAACAATGGGCTCTCTAACTGTGTCTATGTGATTTTGATGCACAATATTAGGGGATATTACCAAGGTGGAAAATCTGATCAGGACTTGCTAGACTGTGGTCGAATCTCATAAGACAAAAGCACAAATGAGAGGAATCTAAACTCATTTTCTGGGACCACAACAGACGATTGGCACAATAAGGAAACACAAGTCATTTGCCTACTGTCATCATTACAACTTTACTTTGACAGACGGTAAAATCAGAATCAAACGCTGTTCCTCTCACCATGACCCGTCTCTATGTACACAGTTCCTGCCCAACTGTTTTTAAAACGTGTTTATTATTCAGGTCATGAAGTTACTGTGAAACTTTTTCAGTTCTCTTGCTCTTCATTATCTGGAGGTAGTCTTTTGTGCAGGTGTGCCTGTAGAGGCTTATTATCTCATTGTCATGTATTGCTACATTCATTTTTGAGGTGTGCTTTGCTGTCATTTTCCCAAGAGAGAGAGAGAGAGTCTGAGGTGCACTATAACATTTCTGAAAATAACACTTTCAATAAAGCTTCCAATTAAAAATCCTCAATTTTTAGCCATTTTATTCTTATGATTGCCTCGACTTATGACCGCATTAAAAAGCCATAAATCATAATTGCAATCCCAGTGGGAGAGGCAATCAAAACTGAGGCTGCAGTAAGAATGTTAATACCTCTTTTTAAAATCTTGGATGTTTTCTTTGCCGCATTTCACAAGCTGCCAATCTGCTCGAGCATCGCTGCGGTCCCAAGTCTGTGGTTCTAACTGATCAGTGTTCAGGTGGCGGTGGCTGTGTGCACCTTTTGTAATGAGCAGTGAAGGGCTGCTCTCATCTCAGTGTGTTTTCTCCCTCCTGTCACCCCTGTGGCTTCCTGGTACCTATGAGTCATTCGACACCCCCCTCACTGGCTGTGGCTACAGGCTCCTCCTGGCTGAGGGGTATGAGTTAAATGCCACGACAAGGGATGAAACGCACAGCTGAGGTAAACAAATCCAGAGCCTACGGATGACCTGTCTCAACATGTTTCATATGCAAACTCAATCACTAGGGTTGTGGGACATATGGTGCCACCGGTCACAGTGAAAGTAATACTCTGCGAATCATACAGGCAGCCTGGTGAGCAGCTAGGTGGCACACAGGAGGTGCTGGCCAACTGTATATACTGACTTGGATTTCTTTGCACTGCTTCACAAACATCTGAAAATTAAAGGCTGGAATTTGAAAATATTCCCTTTTAATTAAAAAAAGGGGGGCTGTTTAGGGGTAAAATGGTGGGCTCAAGCAGAGGCGATATTTAACGAAGCTTTCTTTGGTGTTTACATAGCTTCAGAGTCAGTGTTTCTCTCGAACACCGTCACATTGTATTTCTGCGTCAGCTCAACATGGTCTCAGCTCAGCGAAGGCTTAATATAGAGATACCCAAGTCTGCCAAAAGGTAAAAAGACAGATGGGCTGCGTGAGTGGAAGCTAGGGAGGAAAGGGTAGAGAGGGATGGTGACAACCAGGGTAAAAAAGAAGAGGAAGATGAAGGGATTAAATTCAACTTTGGTGCTAAACTGGTGATGAAGAGTGGAGTGAATGGGAGAAGACTCCAATATTTAAGAGACAGGAAGCAGAAGCAAAAGAAAAGAGTGAGGATGCAAACCTGTCATTAAAAAGTATGGGGAGAACAAGCATGAGGAGGAGGATGGGGAGAGAGGCAGGGTGAGAGACACAGAGACATGATGGGCTGAACGACAGACCATCACCCTACTTGGTTTTGAAGTCTGCTGCTCTGTCGCAGCTGTGATATGGTTAGAAAACATCCCTTGTGCTCCTCCACAGCACTATAGAAAGAGACTGCACCCATATTGTTAAAAATAGATGGTGCAGTAGGTTATGTAAAGAGGCAGGTTTACACAACATTGCCTGTAATGCCTCGTTCTAACTGGCGAAATAAAGAAATAATGAGAAGTATATCTGCAGGTGATGAAGTTGAGTCTGAAAACTAATTACAATAGAAGTGACAACGTCTCCTAAGCATGTGAGTGATTAAGTAAATGGCTGCTGTTGTTGCGAGCTCTTGCAGACATCTAAAATCAACCTCATTAACAATAACAGCACCCAAACATTTTTCCATGACACCAATTACTGGTAATCTGAACTCCGAAGTTTCATACCTGCACAATTGTGAAAGAATTCTTTTCACATCTCTCTCAGGACTTTAAAGCATCAGAATTCTACAATAGTGGAATTCTAAATATTGCCATTTCAAGGTCAGATATGAATAATTTAAACAGAGGAACAGCTTTTTCTTTGGCACATTTATCAGGCTGTTCTCTAGGATGCATTTAAATACTCTGTAACCTGAAGAACCAACTTGTGCTCTTTTGTTGCACATCAAATAAAGACATTTCAAAATAGCCCTAATTAGTTTCTGTTTCGACAAGCTTACAAGTGCATGTAATTGTTCCCTTAATGGCTACTCTATCCCAATGAGAAGCCAACGAGACAAAATGGCCCCAGGCTTTACAGGCGAGCATTATTCCCCACTCCTTGCTAATGCGGCAAAAAAAATTCGCCTCACACTAAAAATAACAATTTAACTCCTACCCTGAGGTTGAAGATTGGAACAAATGAATTATTTTCCTTTTTCAGATCTGGGTAAAAAGCAGAGCAGTGCTGTGAATTTCAGAAATGTGACAGTTGGCTACAGAGCTGATACCTGCTCTCTGTGCACTGAGACACAGGGGCAGCAAACAGACCATGATCATGCGTGTGTCAGTGTGCATGCTGGGTATATGTGCTGTGTGCAGGGTTCTGACTGTTGACGGAGTGAATTCAATCATGTACACTTGTTATTAGGAATTTGCATAATATTCCACCTCAGTGCTCAGCCAACTGGATGCAGTTTAATATATGCACATGGTGATATGGTGTAATGTAACAGATCCATTCCAATTGAAAGGTAGTGGTAATGAGCACTGCATCTGATTCCAGGTGTGCTGATGCAGACAGAGCATATAATTCATTACAGTTTTGATTGAATACTGGTAAATTAAATGTGCTGCAACATCTGGCAATCAGAATCATACTATCTATATGTGATATTTATTTATACCTGTGCTTCGAAGGGAAATCAAGGTTTCAAAAATAGCACACATTTTGTTTCTAATGCTCACATAACAGAGTTTAGTTAAAGGGCTGATTCGTTCAAAAAAAAAAAAAAGGCCCATCCAGGTTTTGACATACCTGTGTCTCTATGCCGCCACTTCAAGGCTGCTTAAATAATTATAGTTAAAAACTCAAAAGCAGTGTGCCTTTCTAGAAACAACCCACTGGTATCACTATAAATACTCATTGGAACTATTTCCTCTTAGAAAACAACCAACAATAGAGAGTTTTTGGAAGGACACATTGCGGTTGAACTTTTCACTACCAGCTCAAATTAAACCCAAGGAGCCTTTATTGTACAGGGATGGAGGCAGATTTTTCCTGAGGCAGACATGTCAAATATCATAAATTCAAAACAAATTGAAACCAACTATGTGGGTAGATAGTTCCAGGGGTTAA